TGGGCTAATGAGAGAAGCCCCTCCGGAGTCTTTACACCTCCAGTGAGCGCAGTTGATGATATTGAGGGATGGATCTTCCCTGGACATGGATCTTGTCCGAAGTATTATACCGGGAGATGGATCTTCTCCGTGAGGCTGGATTGGCCTGTGTCCTCGGTACTGGGTGACTGCGGTCAGTGATATATATTCCGAGATGGATCTTCCCTGGGCCGGATGGCCATATACATTACCGAGTGGTTGAGCACTTGTGAGTGGAGGTTAATGGAACATTGATCATGCTAGTTGTGCATTGGTATATATGTAAAATCTCTGAGTTTTGGACTTCGTACTGTTCAGTTGCATTTAAATACTGTCGAGCTTTACTTGAACTGTAAGCATGTCTACTTCCCTGTTCGGTTATATGTCATTACCTGTTGAGGTTTGGTCCGTCACTACCTGTCAGTCCATAGGTTGGACTTGTTACTTACTGAGTTGGTGTACCACGCGTTACCCCCTGCACCTTGTGTGCAGATCCAGGTATTTCGGGTCACGGTAGCGGCTGCTGATCATATCGTTGTGGACTGCTCTTTGGAGATTGCGAGGTAGCTACTTGGCGACCGCAGTTCCACCTTGTCCCTCCCTATCTTCCTCTTAGTATATTTGTTAGATATTCTCAGACTATGTAGTCTTGTTTATTTCGAATAGTTGTAGTACTTTTGCTCAAGACTAGTGACACCCGAGGTCGGGCTTGTATTTCTTTTCGCTGGTTTTGGATCTCTATTTTTATCTTATTGGATTTCTGTTAAAATACGTTTTTCTTAAGCTTTTAAATTGAAAAATGGAGTAATTGGAAATAAGTGGCTGGCCTAGTTCCACGATAGGCGTCATCACGACCAGGTCAGTTTTTGGGTCGTGACATAAATAAAAGCCAAGTATAACAGTTATTTTAAGCTCGAATTTTGAACTTTGAACCAGAGATTCTGGGTTCGATCCCCAGCAGAGTCGCCAGAGCTGTCACACCTCCATTAGGGAATTTTTCAAATTAAAGTGACATTAATCGAAATGAAATTATTTATTTAATCAGAGTCGCCACTTGGAATAATTTATGGTGTCCCAAGTCACCGGTTTATTTTAAATCTCAAATCGAGAAAATTTGACTCTGTTTTAAAGTCTGCGAACACAGAAGACCGGGTAAGGAATTCTGTTAATCCGGGAGAAGGTGTGAGGCACTCCCGAGTTCCGTGGTTTTAGCACGGTCGCTCAACTATTAATAATTGGCCTAATTATCTGACTTATTATGTATTTAAAGCCTATTGTGCATTTTTAACTTTCTAACCGCTTTTAATTGAAATTGAAGTTTTTTAGAATTTATGGAATTTATTAGAACAAGTCGCAATGTCGTGCACTCGTTTGTTTTTGTACATATTGTGAATCGTGCCACGTGAAACGCACCCGCGATTTACAACATGTTTATTTTATTATTATTTGAAGCTATGGTCGAGTCACGTAAAACGCACACTCGAATTGGGGATTATGTATCGTGACCATGCCACGAGAACCGTACCCCTGGCCATGATAATTTATTAATCGCGCCTAAAGCAAGCTATGATGTTTATAAGTTATTTATTTTTCTAAATTTGAGGTCATTGGGGATTAAAATATTATGGAAGAATGTGGGTAAACTGTAAGATAATAGATGTCAAATAATGAAAAGAAAACACTTATCACAAAATTTGATTGCAAGTTTCAAAAAAATAGATTCCAGCAAAGGCTTGAAGACAATACTGTTATGCTTCCATTTGTGACCAAAAATTAGTTAAATGAACAGAGAATCATGTATCCAAAACCATTCCCGAGATCATTAAGATCAAAGCCAGAACTTAGTTGAATACTACGATTTCATAAAGATGCTAACATGTTTTATAGGTGAATTTCAAACCGAAAATCTTCAACTAATAGATTGAACCTAAAAGTCCGAAATCCACCCCTAAAGTAGACTTAATAAACCCATACAAAAACACAAGCTATTAATCTGAAATTTCAAGATAAAAACAATGATATTTCGAATTAAGCAAGATAAAAACACATGCTAACACCACATACAAAAGAAACTAAAATCAGAGTAAACAAGGAGAATAAGCCAATATTATATTTCAATCACGCATAAAACAAACATTAAAGGAAAGAATGGACCTTCGATAGCTTTCCTTTCTATTATCGTATTGAACCGGCGATTGAAATCTGGCCGAAAAGTAGATGGCAACAGAAACTTGAACTGAAAACTTGAGATCTCGCCAATAGGAAACGGACATATCAAAACGACCAACGGCGGCCGGAACCAAGCTCAGCACCTCAAATGCGACTTTCTCACTCGAAATTTGTTCCCAAAAATCCCCATTTTTGACCAATAAACTCGAAAATTTCAGCTGGATTCCCGCAGATGTTTGGGGTGACTTTCAGCTGCGTTTAAGAGTGCCTTTGGAGCTATTTTTACACTGGTTTTGAAGGTGTTTTTGCTGGTTAAAGGTGCTACCTTTTTGGGGGTTTTCAGGACCTGCTTTGGTGGCAAAATGAAGCGAGGAAGATGAAGTTTTGGTGAAGTGTTGCTACTGCGGTTTTGCAGGTGTTGAAATGGGTTATTGGTAGCTTTTGTGGAGCTCTAATGGCTGCTTCAACTAAAGAGAATGAGCCCCTCCTTTTTTCCTATAGGGGAGGGGATCCGATATATCTTTTGGTTAAGGGGTAGGGGAGTTGCGGCTGATCTCTCTTGAATGAGAGCATACAACAACAACAACAATCCACTAATAATTCCACTAGTGGGGTTTGGGAAAGGTAGAGTGTACGCAGACTTTATCCCTACCCATGAGGGTAGAGAGGCTGTTTCCGGGAGACCCTCGGCTCAAAAACAAAAGATATGTAACAACAACAGAAAACATACAAATAAGATCAGCACCGTAAGTGACAACAAATAAGTGGGAAGGACAATAGTTATGGCAATAATAAAAATTGAAAATAAACTATAAAATAAAAGTAAAAAAATAATAATAATAAACAAAAAATAGAAAGTGTGATGGAACAATAACCGCTAGCAGTCCTATATAAAACACTATCAGACTAGCCAGAACAACGAAGTAAAACGCTCAACTACTCCCTAACCTACAACCCTGATGCTCGACCTCCACACCTCCCTATCCAGGGCGATGTCCTTGGAAATTTGAAGTTGCGACATGTCTTGCCTTATCACCTCGCCCCAATGTTTCTTAGGCCGCCCTCTACCTCTCCTTGTACCTGTCAAAGCCAACCGTTCACACCTCCTAACCGGGGCATCTAGGCTCCTCCTCCGCACATGCCCGAACCATCTAAGCCTCGTTTTCCGCATCTTGTCATCCATGGGAGTCACGCCCACCTTCTCCCGAATATCTTCATTCATAATCTTATCCAGCCTAGTGTGCCCACACATCCATCTCAACATGATGTTTTAAGCGTCAACACCACACAAGAGGGGGGGGGGGTAATTTGTGTGGTACCCAATTTTTGCTCTAGGAGAACCTGGTTCTTCTAAATGTACTAACTACTGCTGTTTGCGGAATAATAAATACAGAAAGTAAAGAACACAGAGATTTTTACGTGGAAAACACCTAGCTCAAAGGGTGAAAAAACCATGACCTACTACTCAGTAGGATTTTTCCAAACTTCCACTAAAATCACTGAGCCAAAACAACATTTACAAAACTCTTGTAAACCTAAAGATTAAACTCTAATCCCGTTGTGGCACACAGCCTCAACAACTTCAAGTTAACTCTAACTTGAATACTCAAAGTACCTAATACAATTGCTTCTATGAAAGCTGAAAGGTACAAGTTTAAATCATCTACTACAATTGAACTAGAATAAAAGAAAGACACAATGGAATTGGTTCTTCTATCTTGTCCAAGTAGCTTCAGGAATGCACACTTAAATCTCACATAAATTGCTTGCAAAATTGCCTTGTTATTTTGCTCTCAATTTAGTTTAACTTCTCCGTTTGTGCAACACCTATAAAAGAGAACAATCACTGTTATTTAATGAGTTAGTAATTGAAGTTTGATTGAGACTCAATTGCTGATCTTCCATCGAAGTTGAGTCCTTGAACAACACAACCTCTAACCTTATCCTTTATCCGGATTGTGTTCTCTTCTCATAAGGAGACTTTCTCTCCTTATCCCATATGCAACCTTTTCGATCAGTTCAGGAGATATTGCTGCTTGATCAATGAACTTATCTCCTTTATGTGCATCTCACATGTATAGCTTGACAAACACTGTGCTTCACATGATGGACCTGGTCCATGACTGAGTTCATTTGTCATTCTTCAAAACTTCACCTGTTCTTGGGCCAACAAATTCCCCCTTTTTGATGATGACAAACTCTGTGCTTTTCACTGATCAAAAACTTGTAAGAACTCAGGCTTAATCATTATCACTTCTTAGAAATTTTACTTATCATCAAGGACCAGGTTAATTAGGTTATGAATATCACTTAATTCAGAATAATGAATAAAGCACAATATCATCTCTTCCCCCTTTTGGCATCATCGAAAAGTTGCATACACAGTGTGAAACCCAGATTTTAATAATTACTCATGGCTACTGGGGCAACAGCAAGTGAAATCATTGTGCAATTATCAATAATCAACAAACATAATTAAACTATTAAGATCAGAATCATCATTGAACAAGAGAAAACAGCAGTTGTCATTGATAAAGATATGGTTCCACAAACAGTCCACAAAAAGAAAGAAAAACTTCCAAAACATGAGCAAAAGAAAACAGAAACATCCCTAATCCGGGTCACTGGGTTCACTGGGGGTACTAGACTGGTTCTAAAGACAAGTGCTGGAAGACCTAGAGTTTGGAGGAACTAGAGGGTTGAGATTGGATAAGGTTTAGCATATTCTGAAGCATTCCATCACTCTTCTCCTTTTCTTTTGCTAGCTCAGTTCTAAGGTCATCTCTCTCATTCTCCAATTCAGCCACGCGTGCCTTGAGCCTAGCAATTTTGTCATCCTTAGTTCCACTCTCCTGAACCAAGGCCCTAACCTTGGTGTTGATGGGTGTCCTCAGAGATGAACCAGGATCAACTGGGATGACATTGACAGGATAGTCACAAGCCAGTAGGGTCTTAACACCAAAATGCTCCTTGCTTGATGCCATTTCCCATTTCTTCAAAGGCACCTTCAGCCTGTCCAACACAGTAGTCAGTATGAACCCATAAGGAGTGGGATGAGCCTTGGAGCCATTAATGAACCTGTCTAGTAATTTGACAATGAAAGCAGGCCAGTTGATCTGTATTCCTCTCTCCAAGCACTCCATAAGAACCAGGTCCATGTAATTTGCAGTGTGCCTTCTCTCCTGTCTGGGCAGCAGGCACTTGTTGACAAATTCAAACAAGACCTTGTGTTCAGGTCTCATTTCACTTTTCTGCACAAATCTTGCTTCAGGCACTTCTCTAGAGTCACAGAATCTCCTAGTGATTTCAAGAGCAGTAGGGAGAGACTCCAGACATGGCCACCTTTGCCTTGTATAATCACCATACCCTTCAGTAGGTATGTCCAGGATCTCACCAAGTTTGACTGCATCAAACTTCACTCTTTCTCCTCTCACCAGGCTGGTGACTACTCCATCTTTTACAGCAGCATTGGCCATAAACTCAATCAATTCATTCCTGGTCAGCCTCCCATCCATTTCAAGGATAATGTCCTTCCAACCTTGTGCAGCTAAAGCATCCACCAGTCTTCTCATCCCTGGTTCTAATTTTCTTTTGCTTACCTTTCACAGCAAACCTTGTCCTCTTGGCTAATAAGGGTTCACCAGACACGGGTTCACAGAAAGACTTCTTGGTAGAAGTCTTGGACCTTTTAGGTTTTGGTGAAGGAACCTCTACTGTTGTTCCTCTTTCTTGATGGACCAGTTCCATCTCCTCTTCTTCAGTAGCCTCAGAAGACTCAGCAACCTTTTTCTTTCCCTTCTCCGTTTTCTTTTTCTTGCTTTCTTCCAGAGCTTTTTGTAGGTCAGCTTCACTTTGTCTTACCCTGCTTCTTGTAGCTCTTCCCTTAGGCACTGGAGGGGCAGTAGATTTTGGGGATGAAGGTTTTCTTTTCTTGGTTGGTTTGGGTACATTTTGGGCCTTTTGTGAGGTAGCTTTGCATTTCTTTGGGTCATAACTTGCCCCAACCTTTTTCAGAAGATCAGCCAGAGTTTCCTCAGCAGATGAACCAGGTTCATCTCTTTGTTTGCTCAAGTGAACCAGCCCTTCAGCTGCTTCCCCAGAACCACTTCCCCCTGACTTGAAGCCACTTTCTTCTTCAACTCCACATATAGCAAGAACTTCTCCCTTTCCTTTTCCCCTCTCTTCACCACTTCCTCCCTCTCTCTCTTTTCTTTTCTTTTTACCTCCACTCCTACTCGATTTAGCCAACAATGCATCTTTAACAGGTCCAATTAGAACAAACCTGTTTTCTACATTTTTAACTTCAGAAGAACCTACCCCAGGAGTTTCTTGAATTTTCTTAGTGTCAGAAGACCCATGTTCTTCACCTTCACTAGCAGAAATAAATGATTCAGAGTCAGAACTGGAATCAGACTCTTTAGCTGGGGATTCCCTTTTCTAGCTAGCTTTCAACCTCTCATTTAAAACTTTCCTCAGAGCTCCAGATGCTATAGTTTTTCTAGCCAACATTTTCTGCCTTCGAAGCCTAGGTTTTGGGGATTCACTAGGAGGTGTAGAAGAGGATGTATTTGAGGGTGATGGTGGTGGAGGAGTGCCAGGATGATCTTGTGGGTTAGACATGGTTCTTCGTTTATGGAGGAGTTTTGGGAATTTCTGAGAAGAAAAGCGATTTTGAATTTTTGGAGAGAGAAGCGATTTAGGATTCTTGGAGAAGAGGAGCAATTAAAATAGGAGATATAATTTTTGACAGTTTTAGAATGAAGAAGAGAGTAAGAGATGTGGTGTATATTTAATGACAATTAGTCATTAATACAGTAACGGTAGCTTTTTCAGAGGTCAATTAGAAGTCTAATCAGCCTGGAATTCCAGTCCCTTAATGATTATTTTGGCTTCCCTAGATATTAGGCAAAAATCACGGTTTTAGAGTTCTTAAGGGACGAAACTGGTTCAATGCTTCAACGGATAGAATTTTCTAGGAATTTGACAAGTATAGGACTTCTGCTCATGATTGAATTGTTTATCTTTCTAATTATGCAAAGTATTGAAAACATACCTGAACTTTCATATGAGCTCATACTGATGAACCAGGTTCTTCATATAGAACTCTCTTGAACATGCCTCAAATGCCATAATAGAAAAAACTTTGTAAGAGATCAGTGAATCATATGTACACATGTCACAGGAGTATACTATTTAAAGTATGAACCTGAGTAAGAATTAATCTAGATATTTACACACAAATAGAACTCCTAACCAATTTTTTTTTTCATTGTGCATTCTGAACTGGACCTATTAGGTGATCTTAATCATCCCTAATTCCAACCTGTTCCTCTCAAAGTTTTCTCTACTCAGTGCTTTAGTGAAAATGTCAGCAATTTGCTTATCAGTAGCACAGAATTCTATGGAGATCAGTCCTTTCTCATAGTTATCTCTTAAGAAGTGGTGTCTAACATCTATGTGCTTAGTCTTTTTATGATGAACAGGGTTCTTTGTCATACTTATAGCACTAGTGTTGTCACAGAATATTGGAATACAACCAACTTCAATACCAAAATCTACCAGCTGTTGTTTGATCCATAGCAATTGAGCACAACAAGAAGCAGCAGCAACATACTCAGCTTCAGCAGTAGATAAGGCCACTGAGTTTTGTTTTTTGGTAGCCCATGACACAAGACATGAACCAAGAAAGTGTGCCATACCTGAGGTGCTCTTCCTATGCACTAGAAAACCTGCATAATCAGCATCAGCATATCCTACTAGATTAAAATTGCTACCTTTGGGATACCAAAGACACAGATCAGTGGTGCCTTTCAAGTATCTTAGTATCCTTTTGACAGCAGTTAGGTGAGACTCTTTAGGATTTGCCTGAAAGCGAGCACAAAGCCCTACACTGAAAACAATGTCAGGTCTGCTAGCAGTAAGATACAGAAGTGAGCCAATCATACCCCTATACAACTTTTGATCAACAGATGAACCAGGTTCATCAACACCTAATTTAGTAGCAGTTGCAATAGGTGTGTCTATTTCTTTAGATTCTTCCATTTTAAACTTTTTGATTAGCTCCTTTGCATACTTTTGCTGGTGGATCATGGTTCCATTTGGACTTTGTTTGATCTGTAAGCCTAAGAAGAAATTAAGCTCACCCATCATGCTCATTTCAAACTCACTCCCCATTAATTTTGCAAAATCCTTACTCAGCTTATCAGTGGTGGCCCCAAAGATTATGTCATCAACATATATTTGTACAACAAAGAGATCCTTACCTTTTTCCCTTAAGAATAAGGTACTATCAATATTACCTCTTTTGTACCCATGCTTCAGCAGGAATTTGGACAATCTTTCATACCATGCTCTTGGGGCCTGCTTGAGTCCATAGAGAGCCTTGTCTAACTTGTACACATGCTCAGGACATTCCTTGCTTTCAAACCCTGGAGGTTGTTTCACAAATACTTCTTCTTTCAGGTAGCCATTCAGGAAGGCACTTTTGACATCTATTTGATGAAGAGTGAATTCCATGTGTGCTGCAAAGGCTATGAGGAGTCTGATTGCTTCTAGTCTTGCAACTGGTGCAAAAGTCTCATCATAGTCTATGCCCTCCTCCTGGCTGTAACCTTGGACCACCAATCTTGCCTTGTTTCTTGTAACAGTTCCATCTTCATCAAGTTTGTTCCTAAAGACCCATTTCGTACCAATAACTGATCTGTCTTTGGGCCTTGGAACTAGATGCCAAACTTGACTTCTCTCAAATTGATTGAGTTCATCTTGCATTGCATTGACCCAATCTGCATCCTGCAAAGCCTCAACAACATTTTTAGGTTCAATAAGAGATAAAAATGCATCAAAAGCACACAGATTCTTTAATTGTGATCTAGTTTTGACTCCAGATGTTGGATCAGTGATAATGTTCTCAATGGGATGAGAACTTTGATACTTGTGAGGTTTCACAACCAACTGGTTTCTACTAGATGTTTCTCCCATGTTCTGTTGCTGAGGAACAAGGTCATGAACAGGTTCCTTTAAGGGATTTATTTCAATTACTCTTTGATTAGTTCCCCCTGTCAGGTTGCCCTGGATGGAAGAACCTGTTCCATCACCTGTTCCTTCAGTTGGTGCCACTTTGACTTGTGCTGAGGCTTCAGTCAAGTCCTTTACCAATCCAATGGCTTCATCTTCATGTTCCTGCCTCTCAGAAAGAATGTTAGTTTCATCAAATACTACATGTACACTTTCTTCTACACACAAAGTTCTTTTATTAAACACTTTATATGCTTTGCTATGTGAAGAATATCCCAAGAATACTCCCTCATCACTTCTGGAATCAAACTTACCTAGGGAGTCTTTTCCATTATTGTGCACATAGCACTTACAACCAAATGCCCTAAGATGGGATATGTTTGGTTTTCTCCCTTTAAGTAACTCATAGGGAGTCTTCTCTACAAGAGGTCTAGTCATGCATCTATTGATTATGTAGCATGCAGTGTTTACAGCCTCTGCCCAGAAGTTGTGAGGCAGTTTGCTAGAAAGCAGCATGGTCCTAGCCATGTCCTCAAGAGTCCTATTCTTTCTTTCAACTACTCAATTTTGTTGAGGAGTTCTAGGGGCAGAGAAATTATGATCTATACCATTTTCATCACAGAATTCAGCAAACTTGGAGTTTTCAAATTCAGTTCCATGATCAGACCTAATGGATGCAAGTTGATTTCCTAATTGTTTTTGAGTTTTTCTAACAAATGCAGTAAACATGTCAAATGATTTATCTTTACAAGATAGAAATAGAACCTAGGTAAATCTAGAATAGTCATCAATAAGCACCATTACATATTTCTTTCCACCTCTGCTCATGGTTCTCATTGGACCACAGAGATCCATATGGACCAGTTCCAACGACTTGGTTGTGCTTACCATTTTCTTACTCTTGAACGATGATCTTACCTGCTTCCCCCTTGCACATGCCTCACAAACTTTGTCTTCCTTGAACTTGATGTTGGGTAACCCTATCACCAAGTCCTTAGAGACTAATTTGTTTAGCTGATTCAGACTGGCATGACCAAGTCTTTTGTGCCACAGGAGGGGATCATTAACCAACACACATAGGCAAGTGATTTCATTTTCTGAGAGAGTGGACAAATCTACAATGTAAATATTGTTAACTCTCTTTCCCTGCAAAACAATCTTGTCAGTGGTAAGATTTATCACAAAGCATTTAGTAGAGGTGAATGCTACCAGGTTACCTCTGTCACACAGTTGTGACACACTAATCAGGCTATATTTCAAGCCATCTATCAAGTAATCATTCTCAATGGAGTGAGAGTCTGTCTTTCCTACCTTTCCAACCCCAATGATCTCACCTTTCTTTCCATTACCAAAGGAGACATTACCTCCTTTTAAGTCCTCAAGTGAAAGGAACTGGTCCTTGTTCCCAGTCATATATTTTATGCAGCCACTATCCATATACCATATTTGGCTACTTCCTTTCACTTGGACCTGCAAAAAAAAATCAGGGGTTAGTCTTAGGAACCCAAACTAGTTTGGGTCCCTTTCTATAGGCAAAAGTATGAATCAAATTCCTTCTTGCCCACCCAGGTAGCTTATTTTTTTTCTTGAACAAATGCTTTGTTCTTTTGACTGGCCTTTACTTTTGCATTACATTCATTTTTGTAATGACCAGTCTTGCCACATTGTGTGCATATTTTATTCTCAGGAAGTGCGAGGTACTTGCTTTTAGGGTCCCACTTTGGTGCTTGAGTCCCATAGCCAAGTCCTCTTTTGTTGCTACTGTGGTGCTCTTGCAACCAAGAAAGTGCATCAGAAGCCTTGTTCCATTTGCAAGTTCTGTCTAGTTCATGTTTCACTTTTCCTAGATCTTCTTTTGGGACTTTAATCAATTCATCCTTCTTGTACAGCTCATCCTTCATTTTTCCTAAGTTTTCCTCTAAAGTGAGATATGTGTGATCAGCTTTCTTCTTTCTTGTTCCTAGTTTCAATTTTAAGTTTTCAGACCTAAGTTCTAGGACACTAGTGTCAAGTTGAAGAACCTGGTTCTTCAAATCAGCATTTTTGCTATCACTCACATTAGCCCTAGACTCTAGACTTTTGCATTTTGCTTTTAGGATCACACATTCCCTAGACAGATCTTCCTTCTCATTGTTAATTATCTCAGACTCATCAATGAAGTCTAGTAATAGCTCAGCCAGCCTTTCTTTAGATAGAAATTTAATCTTGTCATTGAGATGAAGAATACTTACCTCTTGTTCATCATCTGATTCT